CTTACTGAGTATTTGGCAGGTTCATATCAACAGATATAAAAGGAGTTCCTCAGTACTGTGCTATCAACCACTCTGCAATGTATAGAAATCAGAAATCCATCTGTATGTGTGTAAAAGTCTGTAATAGTTCAAATGTCTAATACACATAGTCTGTGTGCCATATACATCACTCTCCCCTTCCCCCTCCACCTATATCTTAGGGTCATCAAAAGAAAATCTTAAGAAGGTTTCACGGCATTAAAAAAAAAAACAAAAAACCAACCTAATATTAATTTAAATCCAGCAATATCTATTGCACACCCAAGCGCTAAGCATTACGAAGGATTCAAAAGACAATCAGATACAGCCTCTGGAAGGCAAGCTTAGACATTATCACACAGACTTTTATGACGTACAGGAAGGTATGGTAAGTCTCATAACAGTTAGGAACAGATTATGAGAATTAGTGATACAGCTGAGAATTTCCAGGAAAGAAGATGGTTAAGATACAGGCAGACGGCAATGCATGTAAACAATCAGCCAAAAGATTCAACTCAACATTTACAGACATCTACTACAAGAAGGCACTCTGAGTTTATCATTATAGGGAACACAAACAGGAAACTACAATACAAGCCTGGAATATGTTAAGTGCCACGAGATAAATTACAAAGTGTCAGAATTCATTTAACAATGATTATCACGTAGGCAGTGCTATAGATAAAATGACAAAATGGTATCTGCCACCATAATATAAACTGATATCAAGGGGTGACATCTAAACTGCATTTTGAGTAGACAGGACTGCATCAGAGAAGCCTGCTGAGATCTCCCCTATTTGGCCAGAGAGCCAACTATTAGGTCCTTCCCGCAAATATGGCAGCCTTCAAGGCGTGGGCTTAGGTCAGTTCGCATCGGTGCTGACATGGAAACGGTGTGAGCAAAATTAGACACGGTCTTCTACATTTTGGCTAGAATATAAAATAAGCGAAGACTGGGAAGAAAAGCTAGAAGAAAGGCTGGAACTGGAAGAATGAGGACTTGTAATGTTTTCCTTAAAATGCATATATCACCAGGTGGAACTCTGGATCCCAGGCACCTCATGGCACAGAAGTTTGTTTCTAGAATTCAAAGATCAAACAGCACGACTCAGAGGGATATATGTGCTGGTCTATGGGCTAGTAATTCCCCTGGGCTACTAGCTCTCTGAATTTCAAGGTACAGCAGTCAGGGGCCAAGAGTGCCAACCCTTGTGTGCAGGATCGTGCTTCTCCTTGTCAAATCTGAAAGAACATCTAACCTACTCCGAATTCAGGGGCAAAAATGTATGTATTTGACCCACAGCCTCTTAAGGCAGATTGATAAGGTCTATAAATGTTTGTTGTTATTTCATTAGGCGCCTACTTAAACCTTTGTCTATTTAATCTGCACTTGGTAAATCAGCACAGGGCTAGACTTAAATGAGGATAAGTGATAGTAACAAAGATCTAATTCCTTAGAGGAGTCACTAAACAATCCCACTTATTTCACTTAGAAAGCCAATGACAGGAAGGGGGAAAAAATTCCAAACAGAAAAAAAATTTTTTTCCAATAACTTCATTTAGTTTCTTTCATCTCCATGGCCTTGTGGCCAGCCTGTACTTGAATAGCTCTAAAAATAGCATTGATATCACACCTTCTTAATAAGATCCAATGTATTTTACCTATGTTACTACATACAAGTAATTACCACTTAGAGATTACACAGAAGGGAAATGGCTCACGTAAGGTCACTTAGCAAAGAGAGGAACCATTCGGCAGCTAACAATAGAGTACGAACTATCCATTAATTGTGGGGGGGAGGGGTGCATTCGCACCCACAGAGAAGGCTTTCCTAAACTTTTATCAACTTCTGCTATCTTCGAACAGAGAATGAACCAGCTTTCTTTTCCAGTCAGAAGCTCTCCATGCTTTCTAGTAATGAGTGCCTTGAACACGAGCTCATATTCCCAACTCGAGCGTTGATAAATACGATACATAATGCAGTTTTCAACTTTTCCTGTTAAGTACATGCATTAGACATAATCTAGTGAACTTTTGTATATTTCCACATGGATTACTATTTTTCTTCCTCATTAAATATTAGCAAAGGTGATTTTACTAAAGCCAGAAGTTTGAAAAAGTCCCACGAATTAGGTATACTACGGGGCCAATATAAGGCCATGAAAGTCATTTGGTGGTTAAATTATTCACCACCAGCAACTGTAAATACAGTTAGCTGTCTCAATCAAGAATGTATAATCAGTCTTAAAGACTGAACATAAAGGTCTGTTGGAAAAACATTCTCTGTGGACCCAGCCTCAGGCAGGCGTAGGAGTCAAAAAAGGGTTATATTTTGGAGATTTAAATTATTCTGCTATCACCAGCTTTATTTCCTAGTAAACTGAGTACAAGGAAAAAAGAAAGAATCAAAATCAAAGAAAGTAGAGGGATGAAGATTAAGAAACTAGAGGTACTCAAGAAGTCTGTTTGCTCTCTTTAATTCTGAAATTATCAAATGAAAGTTATCCTGTTAACCATTAAGTACAGAACTGGTATAGGCAGCACAATCACAAATATTGGAGTACTGATGCTGACTCATAAAAATCTAAAAATATTTCATGCTTTAGGTTCTCAAAATACCATCAGTTTAACCCCTTCTCTCCTTCAATCATGTTGCTTTGGAATGGATGTAAAAAATGTCCCTAATCTCCTTCTGGAAACTGTAATTAAAATGCAGGGAATACAGAAAGCCACATGCAATCAGATTTTAAGGCATTATCATTCCAACATCTGATCCTGGATTTACTAAATCAGTTAAGTGCCTGTACTATCTACTATACTAATACATATATGTTTATGAAAAGGGCTACCTAATAGTCTATCTCTTTGAGGGAATATCAAAATCCTTATATAAAAAGCCATTTTAAAATTGATGTAGATAACTATTAAACTTTCTAAAATTTCTAAGAATCCCAGTTTATAATATCCTTAAAAGGCTGAACTATCTTTTTAGATCACAGACAATTACAATTATGTAAAATCAAAACTTTTATAAGCATAAGAAGCCAGTAAGAAATTTTTTTTTTACCATACACTCAAATACACTAAATAGATTGCACTGTATTTCTAACTTTAAAAAATAAAGACCTTTTAGTTATGTTTTAAATGAACAGACACGAAAGGAGCACAGGACCGATTTCGAAGAGGTACCAAGAGATAGTTTTTCCATACGAAGTACTCCTCTGTTAAGTTCATGTATTGTATGTACCTCCACGAGAATATGTGCAATATTTGTAATTCTAATTAAAATATTTAGTCAAAATAATCCACTACAAAAGTTGCAGAATATCAAAGGCTCGACAATAGTTTGATAAATTACACTGAAAAAATTATTTAATAAATTAAAATCAAATAAAAACCCACAACTGACAGTATCCCTTGGAAAGCAACCACACATGCACACACACAAATCAGAAACTACTAGAACTTTGTTTTGTTTTTGTTTTCAAGGACGGAGAAGTCTAGTTCTGTGACTTATGCAAAGGAATGTAAATATTAAGCTGCCTCCGTATTTATACTACTGTACTCCATTTTTAAGACATGCATCTCAACTCCCCAGATACCATCATCCACAGAAACCATGCAGCTCTCCAACAGACTTTCAGTGTCACCATTTATTATTTATAGCATTAAATGGGGGAAGTGGCTCTGATGTCACCGACCCTACCCAGTGGAATCACTGACTCAATAAACATTTTCACACTGGAGAAAATCTGGCTAGGAAAACATTTTGTTGGGTTAAGTAGATTCTTTCAACTTTCCTCTCAAACCTAGGGTAGAAGTTGTTACAGTGTTAGGAGAGATACAAAGATACTGTCAAGGTTTCCACAGGAAGAAACCCTGGGCTTGTCCATATGCTGAGGCAAAGACTTTCTCCTCCCAAACTCTCCATAGCCCGGTTTGATCTCCCTAATGTTCGAACTGGCAGGTAATAGCTGCCATATTTTATTTCTTCCACCCAATCATCCACCTAGTAGCAAATTCTTCGCTTCTGTTAGCCACTCTCTCATGGTCCCGTTTTCTAAAAACTCCTT